TGGTAAGTGTAGGACTCTTCTTTTTCTCACTTCAAGCAATCCTTCTTTAATCCGATTTCCTTCCATGTAAATCATAAGAGATATGGTAGGTGTAGATCTCTATCTTCTCTTTCCAAAGATCTTTCCTTCTTATATGATTTCCTACAAAATATATCCATAATAAGATCATGCAAATATAATATATATGTATATAACTCGAATATATAAATATAAATATAAATAAATTCGAATATATAAATATAAATATAAATATAAATAAAAGAACTTCCCTTTTTATTTTTCATGCTTGCAAGAATATATCTTCATTTATATTAATTTTTTAACTTTATTGCCCAAAATATAACTCTTTCAGATTTGATACTGATCTTTAACCCTGTAATATTCGAAGTTGATTTTACTCTACACCTGATTGCAAATAGGGCTTCGTTTATTTAAAAGAAAAAACAAAAATAATAACTTAAATAAGTTTTAATTACAACTTGTCGACTAATCATACTTTTTCAACAAATATGCATACTTTCAAATTAAAATACCATAATCTATCAATAATTTCAAAAAAATGGGATCTTTATATGATAAGTATATATTTTTGTTAAATATATGTTTGCAATACACTATTGTAATGGTCAATTGATGAAACATAAAATGCTGAATGAGTGCTTTTGAAATTAGAGGTTGGCAAATCTTATAAAACGTGTGAGCACGCCTTAAGAAATTGGGTCTTCCCTTAATAATATCTTAATTGAAATTCTTATAAACTGTGTGAGCACGCTTTAAGAAATTGGGTCTTCCCTTAATAATTTCTTAATTGAGATTCTTAGCTAATATTTAATGATTTGATTCCTTTGATTCCTTAAAAAAACAAAATGGAATGAATATATGACTACACATTCATTATTAAAGAATCGCAGTTGATTTTGCTTTACAAAACGAAGATATATATTTATCAACCTCTGTGAAATAATTTCACGATAATAGTGAACGAAAAATTTAATACATTTTACAATTAAACAAAAGAAAAATACTTTGCAAAATGTGTAATGAATTTGCATGTCAACCGCGTAAATTTATCTATCATTATATAAAAAAAATAACATTTTTACAAATTTAGAAACATTTTCTCTCCAAAATCATTAAATATATTCTACATATAGTAATTGTTGGACAAATTTGAATAGGCAAAAAAATCGGCTCATTAATTGTGTAAAGATTTATTTCTTTTTTTCCTGTTTTTTAGTTTATCAAAACCGTTGTTTCACAATAAATATTTATTTTTATTTTTCCTATTTTTAGTATAAATCTACACGAGCTTATCTCTTTTGTTACAAAATCTCATTGCATAAGTCTCACGTCTCATCCCTTATCTATAGAGACTTGAAAAAATAAAATAAAATAGAAATCAATTCATAATTACTACTTCTTTAAGAAACTAATTTCCATCAGTCTAATTACTAATATTTTTACAAATATTATAAGCTAACCATACAAAAAAGTATAATAATAATTTTGAAATTGTGTGTAATCAAATTTTTTTATATTCTCTTTATACAAAATAATTTTACATTGTTTTACCCCAAATCTTTAATTTATAATTATTAAGTATTGTTTATCCTCTTCTTTAATTTATAATTATTATTTTTTTCCTATTTTTAAATAGGATCAATAGTAGTTTACATTTCCGCTATTGAGTGACTCAAACTCGAGGTCTATTTATAATATTGTTAATTTAATATTGTTCCCGTGCATCGCACGGGCTTCAGTTTATTTTTAACTAATCAGCCGAAACATGAGGAATTTTCGCAATTGCTCGTTAGAGCATCTTCAATGCTATGGTGTTGAAAGGCAATAATTTTTAACACATGTCAATTGATGATTGTAATGTTAATCCATATAAGAATAATGTTAAAAGACTAAAAATTTGAATCAAACTAGTATCTCCAATGCACCAATTTGATAAGAATTTATTTGTATAGGTGGACCAATTATAATAATTCATTAATACAAGAATAATAAAAAATTAAACTAAATATAAAGTGAATTAATGAGTCATCATGTTTAACATGGTGTTAGATATTAGAAAGTGAGGTCAACATTGTTAACATTAAATGCCATCCACATCACCATGAAAGAGCTAATGACAAGATGCATTGGAGAATAAATTAGTAATAAACTTTCAAAAGTTGATGATATGGATAATTTTTTGCAATGTCAAAAGTCACATTGGAGATGCTCTTATTTATGGATATAATGTCTTCATGAGAAATTCTGGATATGATTTTTTACAAATTATGAAAAATTTAGTTGACTCATTTTGTCATATATTTGTTTGGTTTGCATGGCGTGATATCTGACTTAATTGGTCTTTGGTCGAAAAATATTCCATCACTGCGTGTGTGGAAATTGATTCGTAGACCTTGGACTATTGAGCATTGACATAACTCTTGGACAAATATTTTGTAGTGGAACAAAATTAAAAAAAAATAATAACCAATTTCAGCATGAAAACCCAAACATATATATTATGCTCACTAGGCATTCCTAAGCCTAACCTACAAATAGTGATAGCTGTGGGACTGAACAATTACGATCCTAGCCCATTATCGAGATTGGCCCAAGAAGCCTAACCTATGTGCAGAGATAGTTCGGCAAAAATTTACTTAGAAAATAAATAAAAAATACATTCCATGAAAATTTTGGAAGACATGGATTTTAAAAAATGCTAAAATTATTTCAACTTATACAACCGCTAAAATAAAAGAAAGAATAATAAACAAAAAATTTAAANATAATGAAAACAAAGCATATACCGTCATTGTGTGTATCATAACAACAAAGCAACAATATAACATATATTCAACAACATGAAACAACTTTCAATTAACAACAAAATATTACGTAAGTAAACTTTGCAACAAATATATAATATAGTAAATGCCACAACAACAATAAAACACCATTACAATAATCGAACAACATGAAAACAACTTTTCATAAAAATAAAAATAAAATAAAAAATGTCGAAGGTCGTCGCCGCCATTCGACGAGCCAAGAAAGTGAGACGTCGCAAAGTCGTTGGTTTCCTCCGCTCCCAGGTTTGTAATCGGATGACGACATCCGACGATCCTATGCGTCAGTCGCTCGCTGTTGTTGCATCGTGAGCCGCCGCGGAGTCGGCCGCCCTTATGTCTGACGAGGGCCTCCTAAACCCGTCTATCCCCTCAAATCCCGAGCCACAGACCGTCACGAACACCGTTGATGCCCCAACTCGAATGCAGAAGTTGGTCTGAACCCTCCGGTCGCCGCTCCTTTGTCCATCTTATGTACTACCATTGGGTTTTGCCGAAGAGGGGTAAACATAGAGATTTGTATAAGTTGGATCTACTTCTCGAAAATTTGGGTTTTGTGTGGTCTTGGTGTAGACTATTATTATTATTATTATTATTATTATTATTATTATTATTATTATTATTATTTAGTGACTTGGTGGATAAGTTAAGGTTTAGGGTTAGGTACTTTATATATAAAGGACTCTTTCTAGTTTATTTTTCTTGGTTGATTATGAATTATTGAATGAAAAGATTTAATATCGTTTAGATGTTCTTGAGATTGTGATATCATTAATATCGTCTCACTTGTACGCTTTCCTACATCAAGTCTGAAATTAAGAAAAAAATAAAAATGAAAAATAAGAAATTAGGAAAAATGATGCATTTTGGAGAAAAAGAAACTTGGGAAAATGTGAGAGAATGAGAGATATACTGAAGAACCATCACACGTCTTGAATATAAAAGAAAGAGAGAATGAAAACCCAACAATGACTTTTAGAGCGTAAAAAAGAAAATCAATTTAATATTTTTGACAAAAATAATAAAATATTTCTTATAATAAAAAAAAAAATAATACAATGTCCTTTTCTCGAGATAGCTTTGGGACTAGCAGCTTTAAGTGCTCGCTTGGATATAAAGATATCCCACGCAATAACAAATATTTCTTAACTCAATCCTCTTTTTTTAACTCAATATAAACTCAACAACGTTATAATCAATATCATTAATATAACTAAATAATATCAATTAATCATTCTTACATTACATCAATTTTAATTTACTATTCAATTTCATTACATTATTTTAACTAACAATCAATTCACATTATCTATTTCTTATTTTTACATCAAATCAATTTTAATTATATTAATATAAATTAAAATATATTAACAACTAATTATACAATTTTTTCAAAATTAACTTTGATTAACCATGACAAAACCAAAGAAATCTTAGGCCCCTTCGCCTCGGTCAAAATCCCCAACTTTTTCCTCTTGCCCTAGCCGCTTCTCTCATCGGGAGTGCCTCTCCTCTGGCGGCCCAGTTTCTTGCGACCCTGGTGAGCATACGGCTCGCCCTAGGCTAGGCGGCACGGCTATGGAGTTTTTTCGTCTCTTTCTCTCTGATGTGGGCTTCTCTCATTCCGAGTGTCATGACGGGCGAGTAGTGACGGGAAGCGCCGGCGGCTGTGTTCCAGCGAACATCACGGGAGTCCTTGCGGAGGTCAGTGGCGGCGGTCTAGCCTTGGTTCCCTCCTTCTCCGACCTTCTCTAGTGTAGGGAAGGTGCGGTCCTCCGGCGGTGTCGGGTTGGGTCCGTGGGGAGGGCTTTAATTTCAGTTGCTTTTGTGTTTAGTTGTTTTTTGTTTTGTTAGTGTGGTTGTTTTAGTTGTGTGTTTTTGTTTTATGTTTGTTTCTCCCTTCAGAAGTTGTTGTATTCGCTTGTTCATAGTTATTTTTCTTCTCCTGTTGGGAGTTTTGTTTTGTTTTTTTAGTGTCGCTCTGTTTAGGTTAGTTCCAAGTCTTTTTAGTGTCTATGAGATTAGTCCTCCCAATTAGATTCAAGTCAACTAAGTTACTGATTCATTCGACTGTTTAGTTATTTTTTATTATTTTTTAGTGTATAATTATATGTTTTCGTTTATTTAAGTCTTATCATTTGAAAAAATAAAAACATCCCTTTAAAACACTCCGGGCCAGGGCCAAGAAATGGTGTAACCACAAACAGCATCCCAATAGACGACCCACCAAACTCATAAAATTACTTTGGTCAGAGACTAATGCTATAATATAAAATAGTTATTGATGAAAACATGTTCCAGCAAAACCACAATCTCATAATAGCCCAATCACCATGTTCAAACCTTCAAGATAACCTCAAAAACCAACAAATTTCAGTTGAAACTACAAATTGTTCGGGTAACATGAAAGGGGAAAAACAAAATCCGTAAAACGATTGAGAACCCAAACCACAAGCCCCAGAAAATATTCTGGCAACAAACAAAGTCGCTTTACAGCCTCCTTCCCCTCCTACCACCCTTTCTGCGAGTGCTGTCAGTTGGGATTGGGGTCACGTCCTCTGTAAAGATGGGGTTTTAAAAAAAAAAATCAGCAACATATAATTTTTTTTAAAAAAAAAAATCCAAAATGTTGAGAGAATTTCAAGAAGTTGCTCATTCATATACCTATCCTTCCAATCTTCATGCCTGAACGCGCAAGAGCCCGGAGTGCAGACTGAGCACCGGGTCCAGGAGTCTTGGTCTTGTTACCCCCAGTGGCACGAAGCTTAATGTGAAGGGCAGTGATACCAAGTTCCTGATATATTTCAGAATATCAGTCGGGTTATATAAAGAAAATAGCTACAAGTTAGGATTATTATACAAGTTAGGGAAGATGATTTTCTTTTTTTTTGTTTCTTTCGTTTGAATAGATGAAAAGGAACCTTGCATCTCTGGGAAACATCTTGTGCCGCAAGCATAGCAGCATATGGGGAGGATTCATCCCTGTCGGCCTTCACCTTCATGCCACCTAAAATCACAGAGTAATGGATTTTTAGTCAAATTTTTCTGCAATAACCAATGTGATAGATGGACAGCACTGTGATTTTGAAAAATGACATATTTAGAGGATATAAAAAAAGGGAAAGAGATTATGAGGTGCAGTAACCTATATATGTGGTTATATTGCATGAAATTTTGGTGGTATATTGAACAAGAAACTTGTAACGGAAACAAGAACCATAATTCCAACAAATTCTTAATATTAGGAGTAAATACTGCAGATTCCAAACCAAATGTTGAAACAAGAAACATAATCATATTTAAGTTCATGTCATTTTTATTTGCAATTTAGTTTTTCGATATCCAAGCAATACGAACTCATTAAAACAAAATACATGTAAAGCTCCAGCTACCTAAGCATCCCTAGTTCCTGAAAATATGATTTGGGACGAAAAGTGGAAACCAGCAGTCAAATGGTTTATCTCAAGGTATTACAATATCAACAGAGAGGACCAAAGATCACACTGTTATTGTCATCAACCTATTAGCTAGGAGACAACAAACTTGCAATTCCACTGAAGTTTACCATCACCAAGTTACAACTTATAACTTGGGTTAAAAATTCATTCACAAAATCTTATAACTTGGGTTAGAAATTCATTCACAAACTTTCTACGTGTAAACAAATAAAAAAGGAAAGTAATCAAATTTGTTCAAGGTTCTATCATAAACCATGAAAATGGAAAAAGGCCAAAAAATACCTGTAATGCGGACCATTGTTTCCCTGCCAGACAAGTCAGTGACATGCTGCAAGCAAGGCAAACAAAACATGTCAAAAAGTTTTCTTATAGCTTCCTTCAACATTTTCTTAGACGTACATGAAGTCTTTAGTTACAAACACATATACTCACAATGAAAGTATCATTGAAAGACGCAAAGATGTGAGCAACACCAAACACTAGCTCTCCTTCCCTAGTTGCAGGCCCAAGAGTAACATTCTCTTCCTTGGGCTCTCTTGTCCTTCTCTTCGACTACAACATACAATATATTTCAAAATAAAAGCAAGATTACATACACAATTGTACCAGAACAAGAAACAGTAAATTACAAGCAAAATTCCATCACAGACATCACTTAAACATGAACCAACACAAAAACTAGCTTCACAATCAAGCATACAATGTGGTACTAATAAAGAATAACACATTTTGTTCCAAAAGAACAATTGACGCACATCTATGAGACACATTCCGGGACAAAGAATCGATTTTCATCAGCATAACTTTGAATTAAGCTCAGGTCAGATTAGCAACCCCAAAAATGAAATCCCCATGGACGTAGATAACAAAGTTCATTGGACAAGGTCGAAGCACAAACAATCCCCAACCAAATTTCAATCTCTCAGCAAAAGAACCGAAACAAACATATGCATCGAACAATTGATTCGAAAACAGTAATAAATCACTTGAAAATTTGCGTGTGCTGTGAGAAGAAATACCATGGCTGCGCTGAATTGAAGAGAACGAGCTTAGCTGCCTCTTGACTGGAGAAAACCTAAAGCAGAATGAGGAGTGTGAGGGTTAAGCTCTGGGATTTATATAGCTAGGGTTCAGAACGCTTGCAAATTGAATACCAGAAATGCCCCTGCATTTGTGAAATTGTATAAATCTTTTATATGAAAAAAAAATTAAGAATTTATTTTAAATAATAGGAATTTTTGCCAAAAAAATAAAAAACAAAACTATTACACCGAAATATTGGAATTTATTTTTAATTTTCGTTCCGATATTTATTTATTTCCTACCGCAGGATTGTTTTTGAATTTCAGACTGAATTTCATTCAAGTTTGATCACTTACTAATAAAGTAATTTGTTTTATTTATATTCCTTAAATTGTGTTCTCAAAAAGTATGATTTAATCCCTTAAATTCTGTTTTTAGAAATTTTTATTTGACTAAAAATATTTTATATCATAAAAATGTGTTTTTTATGTAGTAATGCTAATTTAATTTTTTATGCAATGTACGGTGCTTTCTAGCTCAATAGAAACTTTATTCCTTTCTAGCCTAACATACATAAACAACAAATGTTGCTATAAAACCAACTAGTTCCATTAGTTGGTTTTATAGCAACATTACATACAAAAATGTTGAGAGGATGATGAACAAATGTTAGGCACATATAACAAATTTAAATGTCATATTTTTCAATACATTCAATTTAAATCAAATATCTAAAAATCAATAAAAATAAAGGTATAACATTTCATAACATAAGTAATTTGACAACCTGTTAAAGAGGCACCTTTTTGGTTAACACATCAAACAGGTTTACAAAATCTTGAAAGACAACATAAACAGCTCAAAAACAAACTAAACACTTGATAGCTTCATGTTATTTCTTTCAAATCTCTATTCTATGAGGAGCCCCTTTCTTCTCAACTACGTAAAACATAGGCAAACACTTCTATATATATCTAGTCGAACGGCTCTATTCGAGGATCGTGTTCACTCGCCATCATCATCCCTGTGCAAAGGCAAGTCGGGCACATCACCTGATATAAAAATTCACCGATAACACTACAAGAATTATAATCACAGCCAAAAACGAAAATCTTAGAAGAAATTACTACGAATGAGTTTATCCATAACTGAAATGAAATTATTTACGAATAAATATATATATGTGTGTGTTTACCTTTCCAGCCCCAGAGCAATTTGGACACCTTTTAGTGGTTGGGGCACGCAAAGGGCTATCAGAAGCACTTGATATTATAGGCTCGACCGACAAGCACAAGCCACTAGCCGAACAACGTGCACATGCCAAGTATCCTATCAATAATCGTTTATATAAGTAATTCACCAAGAAAAGGCTCAGGTCGTTAAAACCTATAATGTATTCTAATGTAATATTATTGCCTAATGATAAATGTGTTTTGCTAATTTAATGAAGTATAAAGAATCATAGGACCACTAGCTTTAAAGAGACCATGCTTGTTAGGTAAGTACAGATTACACAAAGTATGACTAAAGGTAATGGCTAAATTGAATTTTTAGTCCTGTTGGTTTAACGTCATAGCAATTTTAGTCTCAAGATTCTAATATTTCGCCTTTTTCTCTTGTGATTTAATATTTTGCTGCAATTTAACTTCAGTCCTTTGAGGACTAAAATGGCAACAAATTCCCAAATTTTAAATCTTTGGGATGGATTTTTTATTAGCAATTAAGTCCTGTTAAAAGAAAGAAGAAAGAAAAATTGCTTCCCTTTGGGATGAATTTTATATAAATTGACATGACATAAAATTGCTTCCGTGTACTTTAAAATTTTGTTGCAATCCAGTCATGTAATTTAAAATTTTAATGCAATTTCAGTTTAAAAATATTAAATCACATAACCAAAAGGCGAAGAGTTGGAACTTTGGGACTAAAATGCTATGACGTTAAACCAACGGGACTAAAAATGCATTTTTGCCAAAGTAATTTAAGACCATACACAGGTAGAACAAGCATACAAAGGTAGAACAAGCAGAGAAAATTTAGCTGAACTATGAATGAAGTGTCGAATGCGACTCTTCACCATCTAAACAACCTATATATAAGTTTGTATGTCTCTCTATATATATGTGTGTGTGTGTTTGTAATGGCATTGAAATTATGAATAAAATAAATACCAGTTCCATGGCAGTACTTGCATCTTTTCTTCTCTTGTTGCTCAACGTTGTTAATCTCTATCAGCATTAATGCCGAAATAACCCCCACGGCCCCACCAGAAAACGAGGCCACGATAGGATCCACCTGACTAGAGAAATAAATATCGAGCAAATTTGAAATTTGTCGTGACTCATAGCATGAGGTAGTTTGCAATACAAGAAAATCAAAAAAGCTCACCGAAAATTTCCGAGCAATAGTTTTAATAGGGATGAATGATGGATAACACATGTTGTTCCACCAAAAAATGTTATGAATGAAATTTTGAGCTTTTTATGTACCTCAACTGCATAGGCAAATGCATGTTGCGTATGAAATCTTCGTACGAGGTGCCTCCTAAACCCAATTTCAGCTCAAGCTACAATGAAATTTGAATTGTGTAAATGAAAACGGTAATAATCCACCAATTCTCATTGAAAAAAAAAATTAAATAAATAAATGATTTGGAATGAGCTACGCTCGTAATTAGGAGCTTACAATTGGTGCAATGAGGCCCCCGAGAATTATAATTCCAGATATAAATGAAAAACTGGTCAAATAAAGCCGCTTCAATGTCTTGGGTGTCTATGTCAATAAAAAATGAAAAAAAAATGGAAAATGAGATCAAAATTCAAATATCCTAAAGGGTAAGAACTAAAAAAACCAAGCACACGAAATCTGAAAACAGTTCGAATCCAAAAACTCTCATTGTCTCTCTATGATTAAGGGAGAGAGATAATCACCACGTGAGGCAGAAAGGGAATAGACGAGGGTATATCTGGCATTTCATTTTCATTGATGGCTATACCTTCCATGCTCTTAATCCTTTGTTGCACCCTTAGTCTCCTCAACTTCAGCAATGATAAGGAAATGCCGTAGGTTAGAATGATCGAAAACGACTTAATAAAAGAAAAGATAAAAATGCAAGAACGAGGAGACTAACTTCTTCCATGAGGAGAAAAATTTTATTGCGCCTACTTTTAATGTTGTCCTGAATTTCCTGCAGTTGCATCTGAACAAAATCTTGAACAGTTTCCGGTCCTTCGATAATGCAAAAATTGCTGCAAGCAAGAATTTTAAACAGGCTCAAACTTCTAACTGCGTGATGTATATATATCAATTAGTTGTACAGAAAACTCCAACGATTTAAAATTCTTCCCCTAATATAACAAACAAGCTGTCAACTAGAAGATGCAATTGTATGATTATATCAAACTGCATTTCTAAGCCACCGCATAGTTATGTGACTCGAAGAAATGAAATAATTTTCCAGCTAAAACATCACTGTTTAAGCATACTTTCAAACCGAAATGTAATACTCTAAGAAACAACATAAACAAAATGATGAAATTTCGTAACATACATATTATGCATTGTTGTTAAAAAGGTATTACGGTTTGACAACCGCCTAACTATTATACCGTCTTACACAAAATATTGTGCACGAACAATCGAGTCTCAATCATACTAAGAATCAAGTACCCCCAAAACACAATAACTTTCTTGAGCTTCCTCTTCAGCCAACAGTAATATAAACAGAAGTATTGAATTTCTACTCGACCAACAAGAAACCCAAATCAATTACTGTTTTACTTTATTAGTTACTGACAAACATTCAACAAAACAGCGTTATTTCCTACTAACTCACTAAATCTTCAAAATGATAGGAGATAATGAAATGATAATCACACTAACAAATCACGAAAAACCAAACCGCATAACAACAATCCAATTAAGTGGGAGTTTCAAAAAACCAACCTTGGGCCGGCGTCCCTCGCCGGAGAGTTGGAATCGGCCGAGCCATCAGCTCGAGGAGATGAACGGAAAACCACCTTGCTTTGGGAATACGACATGTTCCCCGGGAAATAAAGGCGTTTAGGCATTCTGCCGCCGCCGACGGAGAATATGAGGGGTTTCGAAGAAAATTGGAGCTTTGAAGCTGCCATTGATGATGGCGAGGCGGAGCAAAGATAGAAAGATCCCATCTCTGTTCTAATCTTCAGCTCTTCTGTCTCCCATGAGAGTGCCAAATCTGAGTACATTGGAAATGTTTATTCAAAAAATACAGTCAATTTTAGGTCAGTGCCTCAGTGGTATAGTTAATATTTTTTTTTAAATAAATTGATCCGATATAAAATATGATATTTAATTATGACATATATTTATAATTAAAAACTTTCGAACTCGTTAAAAAAAATACTCTATTGCTCACGCTCAGCCCCTTCTCCGGTAATAGGACTGGACATGAATTGTTCGATCGTACAAAGGAGCTCTTATAGCTCGGTTATGGGCTAGAACACCCCTAACCAGACACAATTCTACTATAGGTCGAATGAGTGGAGACAGGTACTTGGTCGCTTGGGGCCGAGACGAACAATCTTAATCGGAGCAACCAAGGTCCATAACCGTCGAGCTGAGACATAGTAGGGATATGTCAACCTCGAGGTGTCTGAGCTAGAGAGATGTTAATCGAGAGATGTCTGATGTGGACATGATTGTGTAGATTCGGAAGATTTACAATATTTCGAGAGAATATGAAAAATATCTAATTTTTTTATACCAACATCACTTTTTAATGGTAAGGTAGCCATCGTATAGAAGTGAGAAAAGTGTGATTAACATTGGAAATTAAGTAATATTATACTTTGAGATATAAAATACACGAGGACTTAACTTAATCATAGTAGATTCTATTATGGAAACTCTCTATACGTTTTGGGAGGTCTTCATGTGAGGAAATTAGGGAAAGTCCGAGGAAGATAGGTCATCAAATTGAGTTTATTTGATAGATCTCTATCATCCGACCATGGAATAGATGGCAACGACTGATTGTTCACTATTGAACTCTCCCGCACTTTTAGATTTTGTCTTTTAAGATATACTAGTATGTGGCCTGTGCGATGCACGGGTAAATAATATTAAATAATAATTATAAATTGACGATATAGGCATATAATATGTATTCGTTTAGAATTTTGAGTGCCATTTTGAGATTTTTAAGATAATCAAATTTTAGAGAAATACTATGAAATCTTAAGTGTGAATGTGAGATTTAGAGTGAAATTTTGTATAATGTTTTTTTTTTTAAAATCATAACTAACCTTAAAAAGACCTAACAAATCTTGATCTCAAATAAGTTAAATATTTAAGGATATTTTAAGATTTTTTTTAATTTTTATATATCAAAGATGAACCGCTTTTGTTACCAAAAAATGTGGACACAATTGTGAATGTACATCCCGTCCAAATATCAGTTTTATTCTAAAATAAAAATTGCACGTGGTTTTATCTAATTTACATACTTTTTTTTTACAAAAAAATTATTCAATAAGATTGGAAGAATTGGTTAAGAATTATACAACTATTTGTTTCCAAAATTTGTATCCAATTTGTACGGTTTTTAAGTTAATTTGTATTTAGAATTGTTTTCATAAATAATTGACACATTTTTTGCATAAGAATCTCCAAATTTATTACCAAAAAATATATGATTTTAATTTTGGCAAAAAAAATAAAATATGATACGAAAAAAATGGAATTCAAATTTTGCCATAAGAATCTCCAAATTTGTTATCAAAAAAATAGGATTTAGACTTTGTTACTAAAGATTCACATGTGTTTTTTTGAACTTTCCATTAATAGTAAGTCAAATATTATATTTATTTGGTCAAACTTTCTATTAATGTATTTTTCCAACAACCTCTTTATATATATATAGATTGGATTTGAGTATGTTTGGTAAACCTTACTGATAAATTAGTTGATTTGTGTATAAGTGATTTTCGAGCTCATAGCTCATGGTTGATGACGAGAAAACTAACTCATAAAAATATAAGTAATCACTTGAAAGCTAGCTGTAATAATTTCAATGGTTTTCTTTAAAAAGTTATATAATAAAACTTATGAGACAAGGTTCATATTGTTTAGAAAATATGTTTTATCAAACCAACCTTTAACAGTTGGAAGCATTAGAGGAAAAAAAAAGTTGGAGGATGATCAAATTGAGTGGAAAGTTGCCTACCCGATCAGTATGCCCATGCTTTTGCAATTCAGGTTATGATTATTTTGTATTTCAACTTTTATTCTCCTAATTTCACTATGAAAATTATAAAAAAAAAATATATTTTTTGTAGCCAAAAGAATTATTAATCGTTTCATAATTCAATTATCGACCATAATTAATACATATTTTATTAATTTTTCATTAATTTTAATTATTATATATTTTTCGTTCTTATCTTCCAAGGAGATACGATTTGTTGAACATGCAATTGCGCCCTAAACCTTTTAATTGAGCGAGTAAAGGCTGCATTTGCATTTGAATATATATAGGTAAAATGTAGAGAAAAGTGCATTTGATTCACCTAATTATAGAGTTTTTTGTATTTTGAAAAATTGCACTTAACTAATTTCCGGTCATCGTCCGACCATTTCTAAGGGTAAAGTGTAAATAACAAAATGTTTAGTGAGTAAAGTATATAAAAACAGGTGGGTAAAGAATAATTTTTTTCAAGTACAATTAACTGAATGAATTGCTAAAAGTCAATTTTGCCCTTAAAAATTCTCGACAATGATCGAAAATTGGTTAAGTACAATTTTTCAAAAAGTTATATGGGCAAAGTATTACAGAAAAAAGTTGAGTGAGTAAAGTGCAAAAAAATCGTATAATTAAGTGAGTTAAGTGTAGTTTTCCCTAAAAAGTATACCATTATTTCATCCCACCTTGCACTCACATGTTGTAATGTAATTATTAAATTAAAAAATATTTGTTACTTAACGTGTACTAGTGCGTGACCCGTACAATACACGGACTGTATTTATTTGAAAAATATTATATTTTAAAAAATATAAACAAATAAAAGAGTTATAATAGGTAGACTAATTGTACAATAATATAATGTTCGACAAAACAAAAATCATATATTATTAAAGACCTCCTTATATACAACATTATTAATTTGATTATTGGGCAACTCCTCATTCTCACAAACTAATATCTTCAATCCTTTCTATTCGAGCCCAATGTTTAACCCCTTCTATTCTCACAAACTAATATCTTCAACTCCTTCTATTCGGTATTTATTTGATACTTTTTGTTAGATTTGTTAAATTTTATTGCAATTTTGGAGTAAAACAATCATATATTACCCAAGCCCTGTTTTTAGTTTTTAGCCTAACTATGTTTTAGGCCCAGTATAATAAAAAGCAATGAAATAAACCCTCCACCACAATGCACAAGGTAGGCCCAACCCAATCTCATTCCTATTTGCTCCGCACACACTCCACTCCGCACTCGACCACGCTCGTCTTCTCCAATGAGTTTGCCACCCAAATCCCGTCCTATGGGCTGCACTCGATTGAATCAAGTCAATCTCTCGAGGCTGAAATCAATTTCTCTCTTCCGTGATTTACCGCTTGCTTATTTTATTATACTTTTTTTTGTTAATTCTGGCTACAATTGATGAAATTAGAGGTGCGATTTGCTTAATTGTAAGAGTTNTATTTTCTTGCATGTTTTTAGGTTAATTAAGACGAAACCAATTTTTTTTGGTTAATTAAGACAAAACAGTTACATTTTATATTAACTTAGTAATAATTATATTTTTTATTGTATCATATTATAGTTATTATTAAAATTAATAATTATATTTTACACTAAATATATAAACATACATAAACATAAAAATTATATTGTAAAACTTTTTGTTTAAATTATTTATTCTAAAATTAATATTATATTTTTATATGATTAAGTAATTATTTTTTAAATAAATTAGTTTGTTTTAAACAAAAATTCCTTAAAATCACATAAATAATTGTTATCATAAATATGATATTTTTCAGCTAATTAATTGACCATAATTCCTCAAAATTACAAAAATTACATTTTGTGCAATCGATATAGTGGTTCATATGCAGTCAAATCGTTATGTATTATTTATTTTAACCAATGATCAAATTTTAAAAAGTAATATCATTATCTAACTTATAATTTAATATTATATGCATAAATATAACTTACAATAACCTATGTTTAAAATATAATACCATTATCTAACTTATAATATTATATGCATGCTGATATGGGATATTATATAGCTGAGGAATAGACCGGTTTGCATCATCGGTCGAGCAAGCTCGAAGTGGAGTAAACCGGATTGGTCGAAGGATGATCGACCAAAAGGGAAGAGATCGAGCAGAATAGCAGAACTGGTTGAGGATCGACCTAGTGGCCCGGGGCTCGACCAAATCGAGCATATAGCAGGTGGAGAGCAGTCGAGAGCGTGGCTTGAACGCAAGAAGACGCGTGGATGGCGTTAGAAGATCCCAATGGCCTGCGCAGAAGAATAATCTCCCTCAGCTTAGAGGGACACGTGGCGAGAATATATTGGTGCAGAGTGATAGTGGCTAAAGCCACCCCTGACATCTCTGACACACGCACACTATGTGTGTACGGACGGGCAGTACGGGTAGGACAACTCACCAAAAGCCGGACAGCTCCTAGGGCATGTATCTCACTCCTATATATAAGGGAGTGGGTCTTCTTTTTAGGACTTACGATTTATCCATTCTTTACTTTTGGAAAATTGAACAAACACATACTGACTTAAGCATCGGAGGCTCTTCACCGGAAAACCCCTCCGGTGTGAGAGTTCTGTGTAGGTGCGCGGCGTTCTATCGGCAAGGAAGAGAAAGGCGGACTAATTTCAAGTCGGTCGGAGTGTTTTGCGTTACCACATGCAAATAACTCAGAATACTTTATTTACATCTATGCAAATGCAGAGGTCGAAAACTAGTATAAATAACTATCCATAATCAATTCATTGTTCATTTATTACATTGAATCCATTATTGCCATTATTAATAATATATATATATATATATATATATTAATGCAAATTTTTCATCCATTTTTCATTTAGTTGTGAAATTAACCTATAAATATTATATTAATTAAGTATAATAATATTTTTTAACTAGTATATCATATATATTCGAGTACGAATATTAACTAATTATAAATTCATAAAAGGTATATGAAAGTTATTTATCTTAAAGTATATATTATCCTTTTATTTTTATTTCATTATACAATTGCGTAAAAAATTTCTATAATAATAATAATAATTTAATATCTTTTCAACTAATTAATTCGTCACAATCTTTTAAATTTGATAAAAGTTTCATTATTCATTATTCATTACATTATATGCAGTTATATAGCGATTTATAAATAAGTAATATAATTTATAATTATATTATTCATTTTAACTAATTATCAAAATTATTGAATGTGATCTTCTGATTATATAACTTGTGAAAAATATAATATACATAGGCCTGTAAACGAGCCGAGCTTGAGTTTAGGGTGCTCGAGTTCGAGTCCTTAATGAGCCGAAATCGAGCTTGAGCTCAGCTCATTAAGAACTCGAACTCGAGTCTTAACGAGCCGATCTTGAGCTTTAATGAGTCGAACTATAAAAAAATTATATATAAATTCACTTTTCGAGCCTTATCGACTCGGCTCGTTAACCGCTTTAAATGAGTTCGAGCTTGACTCGTTAAGGCCTCAAACTCGAGCCATAATGAGTCGAGCCAAACTCGTTTAATTTAACAACACTAAATATACATACATATGACTAATATTTTATTTTGATATGCACATGATTACTATTAGTCCTTTATACATCACATGACATTACATTTAAAATAATAACGAATAATTATCTAATTGTATTTATTTTATTAATATATTTTTTTTAATGAGTAAACTACACATCATTTTTCATTGTCCTTTGCCTTTGGGCCTTTTTGAGGAATTTGCACGCTACACGTTGACAATAAGAAATTATTACATTATTACCTCCATTATATAATTATTTATAAATTAACAAATTTGTTAACTTTATTTGCATATATACATATAAAGTTGATTTCCTATCTATATGGTAATTCTCTCTCTCTTCTTCACACGGCGGTCTCTCCCTCTTCTTCACAGAAAACCCTCCACCGTCTGCCTTCACAAGCCTAATATTCGTTCCGACTGATTCAATCGACTCCTCCGATCTCCCTTCACACAAGTCCGCCACCTCCTTCAATCCCCCTTCCGCCACCGCATACGCCTCCGCCTTGCGCGGGAGAACATCCACGACGAGGCTCGTCGCCAAGCCTCGTCCCACGGCTTTTCCGCCAAGTACGTCCCCTTAAACGCCGACCCATCCTCCACCGAATCCTACTCGCTCTACCGAGCCATCCCCGCGGTCGTCATCTCCAGGTAGGCAATCAGAAAATCGTTCTCCATGGAGTCGATGAGAGAGAAGAGGAATATCATTTTAATCGACATGTCAACTTTTTTTTTTTTTTTGTGGTATATTTGCGTAACTTTTCTTAAAAAAAAAAAAAAAAGATCGATCGCGCCTCTATCGTTTGTGGCGCGTTGTGGTATATGTACATTATATTATCAGTATATGTAGAGTATATGTTAAATATATACCTTGAAAGATCGATCGCGTGTAGTATATGTACAGTTTATGATTAGTATATGTGCAGTATATGTTAAATATATACCTTGAAAGATCGATCGCACCTCTATCGTTTGTGTTGTGTTATGGTATATGTACAGTATATGATCAGTATATGTGAAATATATATTCGACTGTTTTTTTGTTTCTTGAGGTATATGTAGAGTTTATTATCAGTATATGTACAATATATGTTAAATATATACCTTGAAAGATCGATCGCGCCTCTATCGTTTGTGTTGTGTTATGGTATATGTACAGTATAAGTGAAATATATATTCGACTGTTTTTTTTTTTCTTGAGGTGTATGTTGCGTGAAGTGTTATAGCTGAAAAATCCTATCGACCCCCTTTTGTTGTTTTTTTTTTTCTTTTTTTTTGTAGTATATGTCCCTGAATTGTTATTGCTGAAAAAAAAAGAGGTCAACGCCCTCTGTGTTCGTCTTTTTTTTCTTTCTTTTGGTTGTGTGTGTATTAATGAAAACAGAAAAAAAAATCAACGACAATTTCTTTTTTTTTTTTTCTAACTACCCACAAATCATGTCCTATAAATATGGAATGGAAGTGGCCTATCTGTAACAAATTGGATTCTTTCCATCATCAATCTGCAAATCTTGCGCAAAAAAACAGGGGATAGGATTGAGAGAGAATTGTAACTGACATTAGGCATGAATGCAAATAAATCTTATCAATTAGGCATATACACAATTAAATTAGATTGAGTGGTAAAGCAGCAATAGCATAGGTGAAAATTTCCCTTTATTTTTCGATAAGGATGACACCTTTCTTACGCCTCGTGGGCCTTCCCAATTAAATTTATCAAGAAAAGTCCAAAAAAGCAAGAAAAAAGTAAAGGAAAAGAGAAAATTGTCAGACTGTGTAGGCCCAATTATAGGGACTTTTTTTTTTTTTTCTCTCCCCCATAATCCTTTTTAACATGTTTTATTCATCGGCTGATAGCGACTTGCGGAAATTTTTTTGTTTTTTACAGAAGCGTATTTTTTCTGCATCTATTGACCTTAAAGACAAAATCAAACTGTTTTAAATTTAGTTAGAGATACTTGATTTAATAGTGATAATCTCCTTTTATCAACAGTCGCACATGATCACATGGATATTTGTAATCTTGTAGTTGATTCACTAAATTAAGGGGCTAAAACGACTGGTACTCAAATTATTTTATCTAATAATTTTTGTAAACGTGTCATGTTAAAGATTAAGGAAGTATGTTGTTAGATAGACATCAAATTCGATAATTATAGTTTTTGAAAAAATATACATAAATTTAAGCTAAAAAACGTATGATATTTTATATTATAAATGTATTTTTTTAAATAAATAAATAACAACACGTAGACCAGTTTAATCGCTTTACACATTTTTATTTTTATTTTTTTAATGTTTAGATAAGTAAATTGTCATCACTAACATTCATGAAAGATCATATTTTACACATTTATGATTAGCTTATAAGCTTACTACTAGTACGTTCCTCGTGCGATGCACGGACTGAGATATTAAATGAGTTATTTTTACACCATTGTCCATTTAAGTATAAAAAATAATAGGGTTATTATCTATTTTCTACCTATTTTAATCAACGTTAAGTTTAAAAAACAATAGGGTTATTATAAGATTTTTTTCAGATCTTTTAACCAGCGTTGTTTTTTTAGCCAGAACATTAAATATGAGCATGTTAGGGCTAATTTATAAAATAATTAATATATTATCTCACTAAAACATTTATACTAATAAAGAATTAATTTTAGCATATAAATTTTGTATCCCTTGATATAAGAGAAAGTAATAGTTTTACTTATTATTGTTCATTATATAATATTTAATTATTATTATATAATAAAAAAGAATACTGTTAAATAGTGTAGTAGAATTGTTATAAAATTATATGAATATTTTTTTACAATATGAATTTAGTATCTTTTTATGATTTGATAATATAACTATAATATATAATTCTTAATGATACAATCTGAAATCGGATTACAAAATTTCAATACATAAATAATAAAATTTTTGGTTAAAAAATAAGAAAAAAATTTCAATTTCAATCTACAAAAAGTTTAAACGATTTTATGAGATTTTTTTGACTAAACGGATTGTATGGGATAAAACAAATAGAAGATAAAAAGGAAATTTCAAATATACAAAAAATGAAAGCCGATTTTGTGGGATTTTTTCGCAGGAAAACCGATTGTATGAGAATAGTAATAGCATTAATTGAATCGCATAGCATTAATTTCAATATAAAATAATTAAATAAAATACATGCTGGAAATAGTAATAGCATTAATTGCAGTTGACTTTTCTGGATACTATTTGTACTAAATAAGATCCCTTTTTATATAAGTATAGATATTCGAATAGACTTGGTTTAATAGGGTCGGTTTTTTAAAAAGTTCGAACTTATCTCATAGATTTTTGAGTAGCTTTTCAAACAAGTCAATTGAATTTTTTATTTTAATTAGTTTATCAGTTAGTTTCACTAAACAACTTTATCATATAAGTTAGAGCCATAAGTCAAAAGTTATCAGCTATAATCTCGAAATTCACTTCTATGCTTGACAAAACTAGCTGATAAGCTAGCTTATAGCTTATTAGTAATTTTCGAGCTTATGGCCAGTGTTTTAAATACCGTGCCGATGGTCATACCAGTCTAGCCACCAGTACGCGGTATTACCAGTCGAACCGGTAATATCGGTGGTATTACCGAACTAGCAAATATAATGATATATATAAATATAGATAAAAATATATAATACTAAATGCATAAAAGTAAAAAAACAAATGACCATAATAATTAATTCAACTTCTCAATGAGATAAAAATTAAACATTTTAAACCAATTTAAATTTTACATTTTTAAATTATTTTTTTTTTATTTTTTTTATTGGCTGGTATTTTGGACCGGTATTTACGGTATGATTCCGGTACAAATCGGTATAACCGTAAATTCGGTATTTTGTGTGCAATTGTACCGTACCAATGACCGGTATCCGATATTACCGGTACGGTATTTAAAACATGGCTTATAGCTTATAACTTATTTATAGTTGAAAAACAATCTTTATATGATAAAAGTATTTGACAAAATTAGTTGATAAACTAGTTAAAATAAAAATTTCAACGACCTTATTTGAAAAACTACTTAAAGAAGCTTATTCGAAAAGCTACCTAAAGAAGCTTATCAAATAAGCTCGAGCTTTTTAAAAAAGCTCGTCCTACCAAACAGAATTTATTTAAATACAAGGAGCATATAAACTATTAAATAAGTTATAAGGTAGCTTATTATCTACTAAAAATAACTTATTAGTTATAAACATATAATAAAACAAACAACTTACAAAGCCTTTCAATGAAGAAAATATTTGACGCACTTAAAAAATCTTTAATGAGATTGTCATGCTTTTCACAAAATCTCAAAAAGATTTGCCATACAATTAATACTACTATTGATTGATACAATTTAATAAAAGAAAATGAATAAAAATAACTAATGGCCCATACAATTTATATGAACAAATTTCTCAAGATTATAATTAATATAAATAAAAATCAAATTAAAAATTAAATACTAGAAATTTAATAAAAAAATTGATACTAATTGTAATAGTTACTATTATCATCTTAGACATTTTCCCGCGCCCAATGATGCACCTCAATATCATCCGTCGGATCTTGCACGATCGGCCTCGATTGAATTACCCGTCACATCACGCGGGGCCCGCAATTTGAATTTTTTATATTCCTTTTAAAACCTTTTTATATAGCACTCATCGGGAGCAGGAAAAAATGAATAAATTCGAGCAACAGCGAAAAATAAATGCCACACACCTACTAAGTCTACTACTGTGTGTCCTCCAAAGAATTAAAAAAAAAATCGAAAATAAAAAAAAATGGATCAAAACAATATCTCCGGCTACCGCCACCGCCGCCCGCCGTCCTCCGACAGACTCTTCACCGTGTTTTCCCCTCCCTCCGCCGTCTCGTCGATGCCCCCACCCGACGCCGGGGACGAGCTCAGCGAGATCGATGTCTTCTACACCAGCGACGGGCCGGAGCCGCCGCGTTCCCCCGCCGTCGTCCGCCGCTGCCGCCGCGCATTCGCCTCGCCGGAGAAGTTCGGCATCCTCGCCGCGCTGCCGGAGGATGGCCGGATCCCGGAAGCCACCGTGCAGAAACCGTTACTACCCTCCCAGCCGGCGCCGCTGGCTCGCGACGTGCCGTCGATCCCGAAGCCCCACCCGTTATCGGAGGCGAGCAGGTACTCGCAGTCGGCGCCGATACGGATCCCGATGATGGCGAGGAAGGCGAGAGACTGGGAGGCGGACGCCGGGGAGGAGGACGGCGGCGACGAGGAGGTGCTGCCGCCGCACGAGATCGTGGCGCGTGGGTCGATGAGGAGTCAAACGACGACGTTTTCGGTGCTGGAGGGCGTGGGGAGGACGCTCAAGGGGAGAGATCTCAGGCGCGTGCGGAATGCGGTTTGGCGCCAAACAGGGTTTCTGGATTAGTGTTTTAATCAATTGGTAATTATTTATTTATTTTAGTTTAACTTGATCATCACTTTATTTACCTATTTTTCCTTTTGTTTAATTTTTGAGAAATTGAACCTTGTTAACCTAGTATACAATTACGGTCACAAGACAAGTGAATTTTCTTAATGAGCAATACTATATAT